GTTGTCACGTACGGCCTCGTGAATATTTTTGGCAGGAAAATTGCTAACTCAAGAAGAAAATTTGAAGAGCTGAAATTTCAACGAAATGTTCCCTTCCCTAATACCACATAGACAATTAACTTCCCAGGCATCGAGGATCAGTATATCACACATTTCTAGCTGCTGGGTTTCCGAGCGACCTTATTACGGCGCGAAATATTGCAAAAACGCATGATCGCACGGGCCAGCCCGGTGCGCGTCGTCAATGGTTATCTTTTCTGGTTCTCGAGTTGAAAGTGGGTGACAAAAAATTACGAACACATTAACACACACACACAAACAGTTTCATGCCAATATGTGTTATTATGCAAATGCATACGTAAAAATGAATGAATCAGAAACAGCCTTTCCAGCTCTAACTATCTTGACCTACGAATGCAACACCTGATAGGCTTTATAGTGAAAACTGCACCGGTGTAAGATACACATACGCATTTCTACTGGGCACAGTCATCGTCTGTGTATTTAAAATTACTCGTCTTAAAAGCTCATTAATACGCTTGTTTCCTCTTACATACTTAATTCTATTAATGCAGACATGCATGAAAATTTACTTTGAAAAGCTGTAGCATTGATGCAACCATAACAGAAACTTGGCTGCTGGCAGCACCAATGACAGCAGCAACTGGATGATGCTGATAGATTGGTTTCGAACCATCCGAACAGTAAATGCCACTGCCGGACGACATCATCGTTTTAATAAATACCAGCGTTTGCTCCAGAGCATGCGAATCAATTGAGCTTAAATATTAGCCCAGCAAATTACTTCAACATTCTCGAACTTCTCCTGCACACAAATTTTTTTTAAAGTTTTTGACGATCGCGTTGGAACCAAACTTATGGAGCTAGAAATCTGTTCTCGAACTTGCAAAACAATTTGAGCCTGACATTCTTTTTTAACGTCCAATCATTCTGCAAAACTTCAAAATCAATAAGTTAAAAAAAAATTTAACTGAACAGGCCAAACGAAAAATGCTTCCTTCTGCTTCTCGGTTGCAATTTTTGTCTCCGGTGTAGAATTCATTAGATTACATTTGATTTCAGTACAGGATATACACAGGTAACATTCTGGACAGTCGTGACCGAATAAATAATCGACCAGACAGAAGATGGATTAACAGCCATAAAAATTTACCATGTATCAAGTATCTGTGCTCCGATTACGACACCAGGCAAAATTGTATCATCGTTATTGACCTGTTCCAAAGCGTACAGCATGGCTTGGACACGTTGTACTCCTTGGGCTGCTTTCAAGATTCCGCATTCAGAACCGTTTCGGCCCGCTTCATGTACGGGGAACAAACCCCCAAGAATGATGTCGCCACTCAGAAATACTTGTCGAACAGACAAAACCGGGCTACTGTTGAAGAACAATTTGATTAGAATGATCTGCGAGCAGATTTGCTGAATTAACATAAGAATTCAACTCAGCACATAGATGGCCGTTTCCTGTTCCGAGGAGTGTTTCTCTTTCATTGCTCACAATACTGCTCGTTCAGGTAATGCTAACGCCGCTGCAACTGCAATTAGACAGTCAAAAATAGGCACTCGTTTTCGTGGCTTACAAACGTCGGCCTTCGACGCAAACATCTTCAAGACATTGCGTCGGTGAGTTGCTGCTCAGATTCGATAAACTGCACGTTCACCATTAAATTAGCCTATAATTTGAGTGAGCTAATGTAATTTCATATGGGACACAAAAATTTGTGAAAAAAATAAATGGTGACACTTATAGTAGCATAAGTATGATCATGCATTTTCACGGTAAGACACTGTAGGTGCGATAATGCGTTTCTACACCGGACTTGAAGTACTCAAGTGGTTAACTACACCTACCTTTTGCGCTCATTAGCGCAAATCATCATAAATTTTCCACAAAGAAAATGAAAAATTTCCGTTTAGCAGCCGTTCTTTGAAAATTACCTAGCCGTTCAGTGAACAATTTTCCCTCAAAACTTTTAACCGCCGATGGGTAAGAACTACGCGCATCTGGAACTGAATTTGAAATATTTAAATAGTATTTGGATAAGGGAACATTCCCCTAAGATTTCAACTTTCTACCTCTCCTGGCCCACGAATTA